TTATGTATATACTCTCTGAAAGTGAAGTCATATGGTTTTTAAAAGTAAACACTAATACATACTGCGTTTTGTATCAGTGTGTTTTTGTTTGGGGAGGTATATTGATTTATATATAGAAGAATTGATGGGTAAAATAGCATAGCAACAGGAAACCAGTAAAGGAATAGTACTACAGTAGTTAATTTCATTGCAGATAGAATATAATAAATAAAATAAAACTTATTTAATACCATTCATCATTGGGTAAATACATCATAATCCAGATTGGTTGTAGAATTGTTAGCTGCTACCAACAGGACTTTCAGGTGTTGCTGAAAGACCTTATGATTTGGAGTTGAATTAAGGTTCTGGCTTTGCCAGTTACCAGCTAGATGATTTTGGATTATATCATCTAATCTCTCTGAACATTTACTTGCCTCACCAAGTTTTTAGGGTCAAATGAGGTAAATTCTTTATTATTAGAGGCTCAGTGCATGAAATTTGTGCACAGGTAGGGTCTCTAGGCCTGGCCTGTGATCAGGGCCGATCTCCTTCCTCTCCCCGCTCGACGCCACCACTGGTTGCCCTCCCCCGGTTCCCGGTTCCCTATGGGGCTATTGGAGCCTGCCGGCCAGGGGGAGGGACCAAGAGGTTGGCCGTTCCTCCTGCTTGCCGACCCCGCCTCCTGCTGCCACTGATCACCTGGGGACCCGGCACCACCTGTGTCCACCACCACCCACCCCCCGGTTCCCCGTTCTTCATTGGGCGATAGGGGCCTGCAGGCTGGGGGCAGCTCCTGTGTTGAGCGTCTGCCCCCGGTGGTCAGTGCGCATTATAGCTGACCGGTCGCTCTGCCATCCGGTCAATTTGCATATTATGCCTTTATATAGAGAGATTATTATTAAGGACATGGGTTATTAGTAATTTCAGGAATAGCCTCTGTGGGGGGAGACTACTGTGTATATAAGATTATAGTAAAATTTTAATTGAAAGCTTCATTTTGTTGTTAAGGAAAAAGTAACTTTGAATTTACCTAAAATTTTAATAACAGACTTTTTGCTGAATTTGAATGCTTTTTTAAAATTTTTTATTTTATTTTATTTTTTATTGATTTCAGAGAGAGGAAGGGAGAGGAAGAGATAGAAACATCAATGAGAATGAGGAATCTGCTGCCACTTGCATTCCCCCTACTGGGGATTGAGCCCGGGCTTGTGCCCTGACCAGGAATTGAACCCTGACCTCCTGGTTCATAGGTCAATGCTCAACCACTGAGCCACACTGGCTGGGCTTGAATGCATTTTAATTTGATCTTTAGACATGGTTCTTAAGAAAGTATATTAGTTTTGGGTTGACATAATCATCTATAAACTTATTAATACACCATAGATTATTGTTATTTAACTATAGATATGACCAGTTCTCTCTGCTCTGGAGTATAATTCTCAATGTGCTTATACAGGAATTAGAGGCCCGGTGTATGATATTCGTGCATGGATGTGGTCCTAGGCCTGGCCAGCAATCCAAGTGCCGCTGGCATGGAAGGGCAGGTCCCAGCTGACCTCTGGACCCTGGGCAGCACCTGGGCCCCAGGCCCCCACATGCCCCTCCTCTGCCTGAGTCATAGGACCCCTGCCTGGCTCCCTCAGCATCTGGGAGCTGGATGGCAGCCCCGCCCCCTGCCCCCGCCACTGGTCACCATCTGCGGGGTGATTGGTGGGGCGATTGGGCCCTGCTCGCACCCACCTTGGCCTGGCACTGCCCGCTCACCTGCTCCACCATCCTGCCGCTGTCCTGCTCTCATCAGGGCCCATCAGGCTGGCAGCATCTCCACTGCCACCTGATGCCAGCGCCACGTCACCAATGCCTGCCATGTTCCGCACTGCCCCCTGGTGGTCAGCGTACGTCATAGCGAGCAGTCGAAATCCCGGTGGAGGGGACAATTTGAATATTAGGCTTTTATTACATAGGATAAGAATGGATGGATATCAAACTTTTGGTCAGAAAATAATGCCTTTGACTTAGGTTACAGTGGAGATGATACAGAGACACTACAGCAAGTCTTTGGTCCATGCTGTGGTGGCTTTAAGATATTTGCTGATTTGTTTTTGAAAGGCAGCAAGTCAACCAAAGTAGTTTTAGCTTAAGGATGGAATCAAGATACAATAGTTTTGAAGATATTAGGACATCGTGGTGTTCTTTAGTTCCCTTTGCCAATATTTTAGCTACAGTGGTATTTGTAGAGACCAGGAAAGGAGAGAGATTGTTACATGTACAAAGATTTGTACATTTATTATGAGAGTAGAGCTTATGTGTTACGCACCTAACACAATGCCTAACATAAGTGTTTGAATGACAAACGGGAATGTGAATGGATAGTGATGGCCAGACAGATATAGGAGGGAGTGTACCTGTGTAGCCTAGCAAGTTCATGAGTTATGTGTTAAGTTTGGGAAGCACTCATTTATATGGAAGTGAAGGTAGCATTTTTTAAGCTTATAGAAGTTTGAATAATTTTAAATGGTTCTGTGAACTTTGACAGGTTTGTACTAGGCTATATAATTAGTGAATAATGAATATTTAAGTGCTCATTGTTTTAATATTTTGTGTTCAGGCCCAAGGAAGAAATATGACATGATCCTTGCCTTTAATGTATTGAAACACATAAAACAATAGCAAATAATACAAGATAGTGTATTTTTTAAAAATTGTGGTAGAAACACACAACAAAATGTACCATCTTAACTATTTTTAAGTGTAGAGTTCAGTAGTGTTAAATATTCATATTGCTGTACAAGGTGTTATATATTTAAATTTAAAATAATTTGTTGAGAGAGGATAAATGCTGTAGGGAAGTGGTATTCAAAATGTACTCCATGAAACCACTCAAAATCCAGTTTTATTTGAAGAAACACTTTATTTATCTATGTTAAATATGTAAATATATTTATTTAACTTAGGCTTGAAAACTATTACTATTAGAATTTGGAGAAGGAGAAGGGTGTACTTATTTAAGGCCAGAGTAATCAGGCAAGGTTTCATGGAAGAAGAGGATCAAGAAATGTAATTTACAGACTCCTACCCTCAGCACTTTATGATAAACTATACCTTAAGGAATGATTAGGAATTGGGTGGGTTGTGGGCAGGGAAAAGGAAAAACATTCTACTTGAGGGAACTAGTCAAAGCTCAGAGATGGGAATGAGCATTATCTGTTTCTAGATCCATGAGAAGAACTGCATTATTAGAATATGTCATTTATGTTGGGGGCGAATGGTATTAGAGACAATATAGTATAATGTAATAGTTCCAAAAGTGTGTCATATTTACCATGAATGTTGTAGAGGAGGAAGGGAAGGTAAATTCATATGTTATTCCTGCAAAGCTTCTCTAACATTTGAATGCTACTGTGCATTCGAAATCCTTGAGCTTATATCCAACATATTTTATTTGACCAGAGGAAGCTTCCTCCATCTGGACACCAGTTTGAAAAAATGTATATGCCACTTACAAGTTGTGTAACTTGATCAAGAAATGTAATCTATTAGACCCCCACCCTCAGCCCTTTGTGATGATTAGATTATGATCACAATTACTGTATGTGAAAAAGTGTTTGTAAATTCAATAAATAATGACTATGTACTAGAATATGCTAATGATCAAGAGTTATATAAATGTGTAAGGGAAAGCTTACAGACCCATAGATGAGTACATGCATGTAAAAATCTTTCTACATCTTTGCTATTCTAAGTATGGTCTGTGCACATTAGCATCTCCTAGCCTGCAATCTTATTAGATATGCATAATAACACTAGTCTCCATTCCATACCTACTGAATTAGACCCTGCATTTTATCAAGATCTCCATGTTCATATGCACATTAAAATTTGTCATGCTTTTTAACATCATATCCAATAAAACTTCATTCTGTCCTTGAACATTGTTAGTAACTGAGGACTTGATATCTTTGATTTCAAACACCAGGTTTACCCTCTAGAACAGGGGTGGGCAAACTTTTTGACTCGAGGGCCACAATGGGTTCTTAAACTGGACCGGAGGGCCGGAACAAAAGCATGGATGGAGTGTTTGTGTGAACTAATATAAATTCAAAGTAAACATTACATAAAAGGGTACGGTCTTTTTTTTTTTTTTTTTTTTAGTTTTATTCATTTCAAACGGGCGGGATTCGGCCCGAGGGCCGTAGTTTGCCCACGGCTGCTCTAGAAACTTCAATCTTTCATTATAGTTTTATACACAATGTGCTTAGTATCTCAGATGAGAACCATTTATATGTAAAAGATAAGTTTATGTTTATCTGAGCCCCTATGTCACTTAGAATCGATTATTGTATTCATAGAATGACTTGACCACAGATTTGAATGGAAGTTAATGTAGTTATTGTACCTTTCCTATAGAGCATTTGAGAACTTTTTCACTGTGTTCCATTGCCACTGTTACTGTTTTTGTACTCTTCACCAAGTAGTTTCTTTAAGTAACCATCCTATGTAATTACTATATAATTTTTTGCATTGGACTATTATTAATTTTGCTAAGCTCAGAGTAGCCCCAGTTTTTCCATGGAACTAGCTCTTGGATTAAATTACATGATAATGTTCACCTATCATTTTGCCTTCCTTTTTAAGAAGTTTCTAAGAAAATACTATCCTTTTAATTTGTAATATCTGAATATGCTCAGTTATTAGAACTTAATTATGGAATCTCTTTTAAGAAATTAAATACTTTTAGATAGTTACATAAATGTAAATGCTCACTATAAAAATTAAAACAATGCAGGGAGAAGTGAAAAGCCCACCTTTTTCTCTACTTAATACTACTCCTTTAAGATTATCTTCTGTTTGGTTTTTTTCCTTCTAGTTTTTTTAAATGTACAAGAGCCTGTACACTATCTTTAAAATTTAACAACAAAAAGAGGGATTTAGGCACTGTTCTGAGCATTGACTTTTTACTCAGAAAAAATGAACTAATGTCTAGATCTTAATATGATTAATGTGTTTTTTGACTTTAGGGAAGAAACCCCTTTTACTTGGAGCCAGCAATAATTATTACAATTACTGATGGGAGCAAGTTGACTACTACCAGTGGAGTCCAGGATGAGGTAAGTTATGTTTATATCAGCATGGATTATGTAAATGCAGTTTAAGATCTTTATTTTTATATGCAACTGCAGGATATTGACTGCCTTAAATAGATTCTTTTATTATTTGATGCAGTCTAGAGTCATCTGTTTTCTAGTACTCGTGTACCTTCTCTGTTGTTTGAAGCAACCGTTTCTAAATTTTCTTGAATAGGAATCCCTTGTGTGAAACTATTTTGAGCATACCCCACCCCAAAATATGTGTATTTTTGAGTTTATGTGAGAGTGACAGTATCAATTCATACAGAAAATTTAGTAAAATTAATATTTTCAGTTTAAAAAAATGAAGACAGCATTCTAATAATTTCTTCCCATATTTCAGTGGATTTTCATGTGCACCCCACTGTGGACACTCCTAGACTAGACTATAGCAAAGCCACAAGGAGGTTAAGACTAGGAGGTTTTTGGACATTTTTATTTGAAGTCAAATATAGTATAATAATAACCTCACCTATTGTCTACAAGCATGCATTACGCAGAGTTGGTTGTGTGTTATGTGATAGGATGAATACAGAATAATTTTTAACTTTAAGCTGTTTTTATTGTAGTATTTGAATTGCTCTTGAACATTACATTAGGTTTTTAAGGTATATTATAGGAAGGAGTTTGTTTAGACCTTTTTTCTGCCAAGGGCCATTTGGACACTTATACCATCATTCATGGGTCATACAAAATTATCAACTTAAAAATTAGCCTGCTATATCTGCTCAAACACTTAATTAACTCACCCCCTAATGCCTTGGCAGGACCAGACCAAATGATTTCCACGGGCCTTAAATGGCCTGTGGGCCAGATGTTCCCACCCCTGGTTTAGACTATTAACTGTTTGTTTGTATTTGCTTTAGAACCTTAACTTTAATTCTTATTGTATCTACAGAGGGTTTGATTAAGTAAGAAAAGTGTAATTTTTAAGTTCAGTAATTTTTAGCAATACTTTTTATTTGTGTGACATTGGGGAATGTAATTGGACATGGAATAAAGACATGTGGATTCTAGTCTTCCTTCAACTACTTTCTAGCAGTGAACTAGCTACCTATTTAACATCTTTCAATCTCTATTTTGGCAATGAAATGAAGATGATAATTCTTGCCCTACCTCCTAGGATTGTTGGAAGACTAAATGAAATAATTAATGTATGTGAAAGTGCTTGGTAGGCTGTAAAGAAAAGAACATGTCCTATCATGAAACATTGGAACCAGTAAAGAATTGTGGTTGTCTGATCTTGATTAGCGGGGAGGAGAGCCAGAATTGTTTTGTGTGAGCAGTTGATGTCAGAGGGAATTTAGGCTATAATTCCTGGAGATAGAGCTGAAAAGTTTAGGTAGATTAAAATTCATAATTAAATACTTTCTAGTCTATATATAATTAATAGACTTGGAATGCTCCATAATTGACTTTAGTGGGTTTGGGGGCTTTTTTTTTTTTTTTTTTTTTTTAACTTAGTGGACATGTGTGATATCCTACCATTATCAGGATCAGATAGACATTGATTATATACATGAACATGCAATAGAAATGTTGCTTAAATTTGAAACTCAGTTGATTTTTTTCTACTTCACCTTCCTTTTGAAAAACTTCAGAAAGATTGATGTATTAATAGTCAGGTCAGAAATACTATTAATAGAACCCATAACAATGAACTTTTTTGTAAAATTTATAGAAGTCTTTTGATGGTTTGTTTCATTTTATTTTTATTCTTAATTTTTTTTTAAAAAAAACCTCATCCAAGGAATTTTTCCATTGCTTTTTAGAGAGAATGGAAGAGAGAAGGAAAGACAGAAATACCGATGTGAATGAAACACATCGATTGGTTGCCTCCTGCATGAGCCCCGACCAGGGCCTGGGATGGGAAGGAGCCTACAACTGAGGCATCAAACCCGAGACCCTTCAGTTCGCAGGCCCACACTCTATCCACTGAGCCAAACTGGCTAGGGCTATTCTTAATGATTTTGATTTGTAGTTGTGATGACTGAAAATGTATTTCTATTTTCTGTTGTGAGATAATCTACTCAAGGTGCTCTGTCTTACTACCTTTCTGGACATGCCCTTTGGGGTACAGTATATTTTGTTTTCATACATTTGGATATTAAAAAAATATTGTGTATATATATATATGTGTATATATATATATATATAGATTGATTTTAGAGAGGAAGTGGGGGAGATAGAAACATCAATAATGAGAGAGAATCATTGATCGGCTGCCTCCTGCATGCCTGCTACTGGGGATTGAGCCTGCAATCCGGGCATGTGCCCTGACCAGGAATAGAACCATGACCTCCTGGTTCATAGGTCGATGCTCAACCACTGATCCATGTCGGCAGGGCAAGGATATGTTTTATTTGTAATTTTTGTTTTGTAGGACCTCTTGTACCTTTTAAAAATATCTTGAAATATACATGGAGATTGGAATTGCTTACTTTTCTTCCTAGGTTTTTGGGAAGGATGTTGGAGAAATGAGACTGTGTTTACAGTGACCGAAAACTACCTTGCTAGTAGCTTGGGAAATTTTCCTGTGGGCAAGGATCTTTTATACTCTTTAGTATAGTACTGATAACAGAGCTTACATTAAACTTCTTCTCTGAAGTGGATGATTCATTTGTATTAAGGCAAAGTTTTATTTTGGTTATGTGGTTGCATTATAGGTCTCTGAGTTGTTTCAGTTTTCAAGTTTAGGAATGAATGTCTTTGCTCCTATGCATGTTTGGTTTTCAATGTCCCAATAAGTCCCAATAAGTGGGGCAGAAAGACAATATATCCCAGAAGTGCATATTGTTGAAACTTAATTTTTGCTAAAATGTTGTGAAATATTGGTTTGTTCTAGACCAAATAATTAAATTATGTGATTCATTTTAATGAGCCTTTCAATTCATAAAAAGCATAAAAATGCTCTGTGTTTTTGTGTGTGTGTGTGTGTGTGTGTGTGTGTGCGCGCGCGCACGCATGTGCACACTACATATGATCTGTACTGTTATAATTTCTACTTGGGAATAACAAACAGAATTTTGCCTTTAGGTCTCTTTTCTTCAGATCTCTTAACCTTTGCTTTTGGCAGAACTTGATTCCTTTTCAGATTTATTGAATGAGTGAAAATGTCAGTAATTTTTCACATTAGGTATGTGTGCATATAATTCTTGCCTACTTGTGGCTGCTATTGATGTGACCTGTTACTATTTATGGAGTTGTGCATCCCACCCATACAATATCTTTTGCTCCAGAATTACATTGTCTCAGATAGTATATTATATCTCTTCTGTCAGTGCTGTTTTTCAGGAATAAGTGTTCCTGCTGCTTTAAAATCGTTTTTATGGCATATAAGTAAACTTAGAGCTCATTTAATCATAGTATTTATTTTATAAATGGGGAAATTGAGATCCAGGAAGCAAAGTGATTCACTAAAGTTTGTAAAATCTGTTATTGTCAAAATCTGGATTAGAATTTATCTAAATTCCAAAGACATTCCAGCCCCTCCAGACCAGTGCTTTTTTCCCTGATGTATCTATTACCGCTCAGATTCTGTTTTTGTGTGTTCTTAAAATTATCTTCTATTTACTTGATTTCCTGTTTATCTCCTTCAGCTTTTATGCAGTTGTGACGAAGGTATTATGTTCTTAGTCACACAGTGTATCTTGAATGACTATTATGGCCAGGGCATTTCTAGGCAGTGAGGATAACCAAGATAAATAGGGTGGATTTCCAGTTTTCAAGTACGCAGTCTTATGGGGGTGATCGCCTATTAAATGGATTTAAGAATGATAAAATAAAGATACATACTAAGTGAATGGGAGCATTGAAGAGGGAGGGTAATTGTAATATTAGCTATCTTGTATACATGTCAAATCCTGTGTAATGTGAATTTTTATAGTCATTTAATTTTTATTCAAGGATCTTGCAGATGATTTGGTAGAGGATGTGGCTTACAGTTTATATCTGTGAAGTTATAAAGCCTGATAAAAAGTTGTTTTAAGCCTAGAAAATAGTTAATGGGAAAACTTGGTACAATAATTGTCTCTTGAGGTGGTTAACTTTATGCAGGCCAGAATGATCCAATTATAACTTGTTTGTCAAAATAATTATAGGGCTACTATTTCTTTTGTGACAGCTCATTTCTTAGTGTGTTCGGATTTAGAAGAGTTGCAGCTTTGGACTGCGGACAAAAATCTTGAAGTGTATATCATCATTTTACCTTAATTCATGACTTTATCTTTTTGGCCTCCTTTAATGAAAAGTCCAGGCAATTGTTTGAGGTGTCATAAGTGTGTTTATAGTGTAGCATTTGTGATTACTCTGTAGGACTTTTGATAACTGTTTGTGTTGGAAAAGTATGTGTGTATTTTTAAAATACATTTTTTTTCTTTTGAAATGCAGCTATTTGATATAGTTGAATGTTTGCAATATTTTTACTTACGAGGAGTAAATTAGATGGGACTTTGAATTCTGATACACAAGAAAACAGTATTGTTTACCTCCATAGTAGTAATCTTTGATGTTGGTAAACATACTTGCGGCCAAATAATCATAGTACCATTCAGCGTGTTATATTATTGATGTGTCAGATGTTTTGGTAGAATTACCAAATTATAAATTAGAGTTGTAACATTTTTTTCTGGTCTTGTTTCCTGCAATAATCCTCTTAAGAACTGTTTTGCAATGGAAAACTGTTCTGTACTATGATTCAAAGAGCAGGTGGCTAACTATATTGCTCAATAAAGTAGCCAGAAGAAATCCTGCCAGTACCTTCTTGGTGACGAATGACATTACAGGAAGTGTAGCAGTTATTTTTCTCTTCCTTGAAAGTGCTAATAGTAGTATTATCTTTCAAATATTGAGATTTCTATATGCTGAAGAATCTTTCTGCATCTCTATCAATGTTATAATTGCTTTGGAAGCTAACATTTTAGAGAATATATTAGCAGTAAAAAAAAAAAACCCACAAAAAATAACAAACCCCTGTTGGTTTT